CTAAGCCCTATGGGCCAACTTTTACTTCAAATTAGACAAAAACCATGCTTGTTAACTATTACCACTAAGCAAATATAGCAAAGGTCCACTACCTATTGAGTCTCACTTAAGGAATGCACAGAGATAGTAGGTACTCAGTTTTATAACCAAGATGCTCCTGATTGGTGCAATCAAATTAAAAATGCTACAATCCAAAGACACTACCAACAAACCCTACAGGATTGCCAAAGTAAAATTATACTTTTTAATAATTCCTGGGATAATGGTAAATGTAAACAATGTAAGTAAGTCCCTACAACTATTGTTCTCTCTTCCTATTAATTATAATGTTCTCTCTGCCCCTCCAGTACAAGTCTCATTTACTGAGACAGAAAAATATTGTACTAACCAAGTGGCCAGGGGTACCTTACCATGGACCTCTTCCCTGTATGCCAATCAATATAAACAAGTAAAGCAATGTATACTGCCTAATATCACCTGGGCTAAGGCGTGTCTGAAAAATTGGAGACTACAACCAGCTTGAGAATTCTTCCATAGCCTAACCTCATAATACCAACTACAAGTTTTGCATAACACTCAATGGAAGCTGGCTCTACAACAATTGCAAGGCTGGCTATCCACAGTAAATAATCATAGCTCATGGGTGTTACAGCAAAGACAATTCCTGCTAAAAGTATATTTGATCCCATGGAGAACTCTAACTGCTCTCTGTATGGGAGTTTCTCTACTCAAATCGACAACTACTTGCTTAGGGCCATTAGAAAATTTGGTGAGCCTATCAAAATGATCATTAATAAAAGCTTGGGAAATATTTGAGGAAAATGTCCAACTAATGTTACTTTTGTGGGGTATCCTAAAAGAACATAGTGTGGTAATAGCAACGACCACCCAAATGTGAAAAGCACAAGCTATGTACTCAGAGATTACTATATAGCAAGGGAGTCAATCACTGTCATTTGTGTTTTGGTAGAGCCTCAAAGGCAGGCAGAGAAATAAAAAACTTTTTTGTGGAAAAAAGGAAGGCTTCAGGTATGTGCTGATTAGAGGTCATTGGCATGGGAAAGCTGTAGGTTGGCTAAGTAGAAGTGGGGCATCCTATGTGATTAGAGGTACATATCTGGCTTTCTCTGGTTGGACCTAAGTTGGAAACAGGGATAAAAATCAGGGAAGTTGTCAGTTATTAATCAAGTCGTGGCCATTTTGAGCTGATTGTTACAGAAGTTTTTGTTTAACTTCCTGGGTTGTTACTAAATACAACAATCTGACATTCTACAACCCTGACTTATAGCAGGCTAGCTTCTTGGGCTACTTATTGCATATAAGTGAGTTGGTTTCCTGGGCAAGTTGCTGAAGGTTGTTGGTCAGAGTTCTATTTTTATATATGGTACAGCCATTGTCCATTTTTACATTCAATCTTTCAGTATACATACCACTTTATAAGAGATAGAAACAATAATGAGAAGCCTGGTATCAAAGGTAAGTTGGGAAGAAATTTATTGGTGATATCACACTACCATCTCCCAAGGGGTCACTCTTGAGGCTATTAAAGCTTTACAAATGGATTCCCTAGAAAAGTTTCCCCTGGAATGGAAATGATGAAGCAGATGGTCTCCCAGTGAAATACAGCAACATCATGATAAACAGGGACAGAAATGGGCTAAATGTATAATAAAATTGATGTTTATTTTTTACATAATTTGGCCCACTTTTGAGGATATATGAGTGCCCCATAGTTCAGGATCTAATTTGGTGCATGGCTAAATTAACAAATTTTTTCAAACAGCTAAGTATTCCTGTATTCCTATTCCTAAGTATTCCTATTATTCTAGACCCACCAAAACACTCCGATGCTATTTATTATTGGCAGTCATTGGGAAACTCAAGTACCAATGCACACCAATCCAAACAAGAAGGAATATTCAGTTGCCTAAACCTGCATATAGCTTTAGCCACAGCAATACATATGATAACAAATTTAACTGCATGCTGAGTTTTCTTCTGCCAATCTGACTTTAGTCTTATAGATAGCCAGGCACATATAGCAAGGGGGTCATGTCAGCCTATTGATTAAACTATTGAACAAATCAAAATGTCCTCCTTTTTCTGATCTATTCTCCTGGCTTTTCCCTGTGGGTAGACTGATTGTGAAAGGGCTTGGAAATCCTAATTTGTACCCTTATAAGATTCTGTCTGATTTATAACTGGCTCCAAACTCAAGTACTACAAAATAACATACAATTTAATTTGTAAAATAACATTGGGCCAGGGGATAGATTGTTATATATATACCTGAACCCAAGATGGCCTCTATATATTGGTCCCTATGTTGTTTACTTCTTCAAACAGGCTAGGTCTGCAAGCTCAAAAGCCTACCAGTATCAAACTCAATTTTTACACATTCTATTGCTTTAAATATAGCCCAAATAAGCAGATTTTTTAGTATTTTAGAGGCTGCCTTCTTTGCATGCCCCTGTAAAACTGTATCCATCTGCTAGCCATAGGTGGGATAAACTCCGGGATATAAAAACCTAAACTGCTGTTGCCTTTCAGAATTCTCTGACTGAGAGACTCCCTGCCTTTGCTGCTTAGAGACATCACATACATACATAAGTCTCGACTCTGACACTCCTATTCCTCTGGAGTTCCTTTGCCCTTCTCACCTTCTGGATGGTGTCCACCCACCAGCCTCTGGAAGAGCTCAGGGTTTGATGAACCCCACACTGTCACAAACCTATCAAAGGGTTGACCAAATAAAACTCATTGTGTGCTACTGCCACCTTGTAGTCATATCTTTTTCCTTGATCAGTCTTCAAATCTCTCACACTACAAGTTCAAACATTTTAATTCTCCATATAAATCATACTAGAAATTCATATTATTATGATTTTACATTGTCTATATGTATATTTACCCAGTTACCCTTTTTATTATTGTTCACTTCTTCTTGCATCTCTTTATTTTCATACAGAAATCTTTCCTTTCAGTATTTCCTTTAGTGTGAGCTTACTGATGACCAATTTACTCAGCTTTGTTTTCTGAAAATGTCTTTATTACATCTTCATTTTTGATGGGTTATTTCAGTGGGTTTAGAATTCCAGATTGTCCGCTTGAAAATCATTAAACTTCTTTTCAATTGTATTTTTATAGCTTTAGGGAGTACAAATGCAGTTTTGTTACATATATACATAGATGTGAAATGTGGTCTTTTAGTGTAACCATCACCTCAATAGTGTCCATTGCACCCATTACCTTATTCTTTTCATTAAATTTCTTGAGTGAAAAAGTTGCATGAGATCTAAGACTCACCTCTTTGTATTTCCCTTTGTTCTGAGATCATGACTCTTAAAGTCCTCATTGCCTTAATAGGTTTCTAAGGCTGTCTTAGTAGCTTTTGATGCATTCAGTTTCCCTCAACTTTCTAGTTGTTTTTTTGGGAGGCCTGTTACAATCAACTACACGTTATTAGAATTGGAACTCTGCAATATCATTATAATGACTTATTAGTATTCCATTTTTAATATTATAATTTGTTTAAAGAGTCTCAGGTTATTTAACATTAATATAGTTTTCAGATCTGTTATATTAGAACAAATTATTTTAGGTAAATCTTTGCACATATAGCTTATGATTTCCTTAGGATGTTTTTTAGAGGTGAAAATGCTAGTTTATAAGGTTTGAACAATTTTAGAGGCTTCAGAAATCACTGGACCCTAGATTAGGAATATCTGCTTTTGAGGCTTAGAAATATCCTAGACTTCCCCACCCCCAGCAGTGGGCTTCTGGGCATATTAACTGCACTGGATGTCACAGAATTAGAAGTGAATGCGTGGCATATGTGGGATTGCTTCTCCAATTGGAGACAAGAAGTGATGACACTTTGTGATTGTAACCAGTCATTTTCCCTTTCCCCAAACAAGTGTAAAGAAAGTCTACTTTCAGATTGTTGTAGAGACATTAGGAAATACTACATATAGTAAATGCTTGAAGCAAGGTACAAACGTATTAATAGAGGTTCAACATTGGTAGGCTGAGTGGCAGAGGATAGGTTGTGTGAATGTCACAAAAGTAGTGTCCCCAACCCAGCCTCCTTCTAAAAACAACCTATCTGTGCATTTGCCACTGTTTTTAAACACCAACTCTTTTATGAAGCCTTTTCTGGCTCTACAGGTAGAACTGACCCTGACTTCCACTGCACTCTGTACAAACTTCTAGAAAACTTGGCTTCCCCTTTTCTTTATCTGACTCTTGCTTTTAACTGGGAGCACCTTGAGGACAAAGAAATTAACTCCATAACTTCTGGACAGATGACCAGTGTTTGTTAAATAAATGAATGAAGGGGTCAGGATCGGATCTGCTCCAAGTGCTAGAGTAATAACAGAGTAAAACAGAGCAGGTAATAACCTTTAACACTTAGTATCTCAATTGACCCTTACAAAATTTCTATTAAATGGGTAGGTGATTGGGGAGTGAAAGGATTAACCAAATCTTCAAGAGTTTTAGTAGCTTTCCTACTGGTAAGGGTTGGGGCTCTTCAAACTTGTTCCAGGCTTCCTAATTAGGACTAATTCCTAGGCCTTCAGATCTTCTAGAAAAGAGTTCTTCCTAGCTCACATCAGTAGGAAAGGGGTTATTAGACACCTAAAGAGAGAATGTAATAGAGGAGACAGGGGAGGGGACGAGGGGGTGTACCCTTCCAGAGACCATGCACATTTTTCCTGAAGCAGTTTTAGGGAAAGGCAAATCCCAAGGATACTACCTACCAATTTTGAAAATCCATTCAGTGCCTGGCAGTGTGTAGAAGCCCTCTAATCGGTACCCTGCCTCTGAGAAGTAGCTATTATCTCCGCTTGCATTCCCTACCCATCCTCTCCAAGCCCTTTGTTTCACCCTACCAAAGTCTCTCTCCTTCCAGTACTCTCCTTTGGCGCAGAATCCCCGCATCCACTTTCTCTGGCCCAGGGGAGGGGCTGGGCGGGGCGCGGTCGCCTTGTCGCAGAGCCCGACTGCGCCTGCGCGGACTGCGGCAGAGGGCGGGGTGTGAGTAGCAGAGTACACTGAGACTGGCGTTCGCTGTTGGCCGGTACCTGCGTTCTTTTCCTCCACCTCTCATTTCAGCTCCAGCAAGTTGCTTGGAACTTTCTTTCTGGCAGCAGCAGCAACAGCATTACCGTTAGCGGCAGTTTTGTGCTGAGGCACCTGCACGCCTCCTGTCCTCTTTCTGCCAGATCGCGGGCCTGTCGGTGTCTACTCCCACACGCCGGTCGACAGGACCATGTCGCTGGTAAGCCAGAATTCGCGCCGCTGCCGCGGTGCAACGGCCACTGAGCACAACGGCAGCAGCTGGGGTGAAATTCAGGCCCCTAACGCCTCCGGTTTCCCCGCTGCTGTGCCAGACCCAGACGCCCCCCAGGATCACAGCGATCCCCAGATACTCCAGGGCCTCTGCGCCTCTGAGGGCCCAAGTGCGTCCGTGCTGCCCACCCCCGGTGAGGGCCCAAGCACCTCTGGGCCGCCCACTATCTCTGAGGGCTCAAGCGCCTACAGGCAGCCTACCATATCTGAGGGACCGAGCACCTCTGTGCTGCCCACCCCCGGGGAGGGCCCGAGCACCTCCGGGCCTCCCACCGTCTCTAAGGGGCCGAACACCTCCGTGCTGCTCACTGCCTCTGAGCGCCGCAGCGCCTCCGGGCCGCCCACTTCCTCTGAGAAACCGAGCGCCTCCATGCCACCCAACCCCGGTGAGGGTCCGAGCACCACCGTGCAGCCCACCGCCTTTGAGGGAGCAAGCACTTCCATGCCTTCTACCCCTGGCGAGGGCCCGAGCACCTCCGTGCCGCCCACCGCCTCTGCGGGACCGGGCACCTCCGTGCCGCCCCCCCTGGGTGAAGGCCCGAGCACCTCCGTGCCGTCCAGCGCCTCTGAAGGATCAGGCACGTCCGTGCCGCCCCCCCTGGGGGAGCGCCCGAGCACCTCCGTGCCACCCTCTCTGGAGGAGGGCCTGAGCACCTCCGTGCCACCTCCCTTGGGTGAAGGCCCGAGCACCTCCGTGCCACCGCCCCTGGGGGAGGGCCCGAGCACCTCCGTGCCGTCCAGCGCCTCTGAAGGATCAGGCACCTCCGTGCCACCTCCCTTGGGTGAAGGCCCGAGCACCTCCGTGCCACCGCCCCTGGGGGAGGGCCCGAGCACCTCCATGCTGTCCAGCGCCTCTGAAGGATCAGGCATCTCCGTGCCACCCCCCATGGGTGAGGGCCCGAGCACCTCCGTGCCGCCCACCGCCTCTGAAGGATCAGGCATCTCCGTGCCACCCCCCATGAGTGAGGGCCCGAGCACCTCCGTGCCGCCCACCGCCTCTGAGGGATCAGGCATCTCCGTGCCGCCCCCCCTGAGGGAGGGCCCGAGCACCTCTGTGGCACCCCCTGTGGAGGAGGGACTGAGCACCTCCGTGCCACCTCCCCTGGGTGAAGGCCCAAGCACCTCCGTGCCGTCCAGCGCCTCTGGAGGATCAGGCATCTCCGTGCTACCCCCCCTGGGTGAGGGCCCGAGCATCTCCGTGCCACCCCCTCTGGGGGAGGGTCCGAGCACCTCCGTGCCGCCCCCCCTGGGGGAGGGCCCGAGCACCTCCGTGCTGCCCCCCCTGGGGGAGGGCCCGAGCACCTCCGTGCTGCCCACCTCTTCTAAGGGTTCAAGCACCTCCATGCTGCCAGCCCGAGCTCAGGGACTGAGCGCTTTCATGCTGCCCACAGCCTGTGAGAAACCGAGCAACTCCGTGCCACCCATCCCTCCTGAGGGACACAGCACATTGTTGAGCTCGGGCGCTTTTGCAGGCCGGAAGCCCTCCAAGTGCTCCAGTGTTTTGCCAAACCGTAGCATGGCCAAGGCCTCCGCGGACTCGGACTCTGAGGGCCCTAAGGGTGCGGAAGGTCCCTTGGAATTCCAGGTCCTGAGAGACCGTGAAAGCCCCAACTCCATTACCATTATGGGCCTCAGTACTTCCCGGGTTGCCATTACCCTGAAGCCCCAGGACCCTATGGAACAGAATGTAGCCGATTTGTTGCAGTTTCTCCTGGTGAAGGATCAAAGCAAGTACCCTATCCGAGTGTCTGAAATGCGTCAACATATTGCTAAAGAATATCGCAGTCAGTTCCCTGAGATCCTTAGACGAGCAGCAGCTCAGTTGGAATGCATTTTTAGGTTTGAATTGAGGGAACTTGACCCTGAAGCACGCACCTACATTCTGCTCAACAAACTGGGACCTGTGCCCTTTGAAGGGTTAGAAGAGAGCCCAAATGGACCAAAGATGGGTCTCCTTATGATGATTCTGGGGCAGATACTCCTGAGTGGCAACCAAGCCAAGGAGGCTGAGATTTGGGAAATGCTCTGGAGGATGGGAGTGCAGCGGGAGAGGAGGCTTTCCATTTTTGGGAACCCAAAGAGACTTCTCTCTGTAGAGTTTGTATGGCAGCGCTACTTGGACTACAGGCCACTAACTGACTGTGATCCAGTGGAGTATGAGTTTTACTGGGGCCCACGATCCCACCTAGAAACCACCAAGATGAAAATTCTGAAGTTCATGGCTAGGATCTATAACAAAGATCCGATGGACTGGCCAGAGCAATACAATGAGGCTCTGGAAGAAGATGCTGCTAGAGCCGTGGCTGACGGTTGGCAGGCTCTCCCTCACTTTAGAAGGCCCTTTTTCGAGGAAGTTGTTGCAGACATGCCATTCCTAGATTCAGAGGCTTCCAACTATTCCTCAAAATATCCCCCACATTCGTGGCCTGAGTCAAGATTGGAGAGCAAGGCAAGGAAGTTGGTGCAGTTATTTCTACTTATGGATTCAACTAAGCTGCCTATACCAAAGAAAGGAATTCTGTACTACATTGGCCGAGAATGCAGCAAAGTGTTCCCTGACCTCCTGAATCGTGCTGCCCGCACCTTGAACCTTGTCTATGGGACAGAGCTAGTGGTACTTGATCCCAGGAACCACTCCTATACCCTGTACAACCGAAGAGAAATGGAAGACACTGAAGAGATTATGGACAGTCCAAATAGGCCTGGCAACAACTTCTTGATGCAGGTCCTAAGCTTCATCTTTATAACGGGCAACCATGCCAGGGAGTCCGCAGTCTGGGCCTTTCTGCGGGGCTTAGGGGTTCAATCTGGGAGAAAGCATGTGATTACCTGTAGGTATTTGAGTCAGCGCTATATAGACAGTTTACGGGTTCCCGATACCGATCCAGTGCAATATGAGTTTGTATGGGGCCCTAGAGCCCGCTTGGAAACCTCCAAGATGAAAGCCCTGCGATATGTGGCCAGAATCCACAGAAGGGATCCACAGGACTGGCCAGAGCAGTACAGGGAGGCAATGGAGGATGAGGCCAATAGAGCTGATGTTGGGCACAGGCAATTCTTTGTTCACAACTTCTGAGAGCAATGCATGGCAGTCAGAGGGGCCTTACAAGGCCAGGCCCCAAAGCCCTGGGTCTCACTTATTGGGGGGTATTGTATTTGGTGTTTGTGTTCCAGTTCCACTAATGTCTTTTCATATTTAGTTCTTGTGTGGTATCTTGAAAAGTTTCAACTGTTTTAACATACTGTCCAATAGGGTAAATATAATCGGCCATTTGCTGTCTATTGTATTTTGGTGTAAGAGTTTTGAGAGCTTTGTAAAATGTTTGGAAATCTTTCCATCGTGTTGCTTTATCTGGAAGAGAATATATAGCACATAGCTATAGATATAGGCTTTTCCTTGAAAATTTGAAAAAATTCACCAGTAAAATGATGTTTCTTCAAGTGTTAAGCAAACAAATATAACAACTGCAAAAGCACTCTAAATTGTGGCTGGCCTTCTTTTCTGTCTGCTATCGTGTAAGGAATACTGATGTTTACCTGTATTTGCTTTGCTGTACTAAAATGTAATGAAAAATAAAAGTTGAATAAAGCAAACATAATGCTAATGTACTAATTTATTCAGTAAAAGTTTACTAAACTTCTTTCATACAGTGAGCATAGTGATGTGTTCTGGTTATGCAAATATATAAGATATAGCACCTGCCCTAGAATTCAGAGACTGGGCAGGATATAGGGGAGGTAACCTAAACCAGGAATTTTATTATGCTGTACTAAGTGCTATAGTAGACTAAGTAGAACATGCTATGGGAATTAAGAAAGAGGTACACCTAACCCAATTTCAGGGGTATTCAGGGTGGTCTTTGAAGAAGATGACGGGTGTGGGTGGACAAGATGGGGTCCTTAATACAATCACAAGTTGTAATTCAACTAATTCAAGCCTGGATTTCAGTTTTCATAAATGGTATCAGGTAATGAAGTCAAAGATGTAAGGGTGGAGAACTGAAGGGTATTACATGTCATAAACAGTCCCAATAAGATGCATGAATCAGCTTTCTCCAAGTTATACTGTGATTTAAAAAAATCCCCAAATATCAGTGGCTTAAGTAACAAAATGTTGGATTCATTTTACATGCCCTTCGTGAGTTCTCTGTGATTCAGTTTATATTGTCTTCATTCAGGTAACCAGGCTAAAAGAAATAGCCTGTATATGGGACATCTGTTCTTGTGGGAGAGGTAAAAGAGCCTTAGTGGAACCCTGTGATAGTTCCCAAAACTTCTGCTCAGATATGGCATAGCAAAGTCCTAGTCCATTGGCAAAATCAAGTCATATGGGCAAGCTTGATGTCAATGCGGTGGGAAGTGTAATCCTCCCACAGGAAGAGACATGTAGGGATGGGCCCAGTAGAGAGGAACAGCATATATTTTGAACAAAAAACTTAGTTCAACCATATAAGAATTTTACTTTTGCTATTAGTGAAATGGGAAACTATTGAAGGATTTTGATCTGAGGAATGGCAGGATGCAATTTAGTTTTTATAGGAATATTTTGGCTCTTGCATTGAAAAACTAAGGTTGGGTTGGGGAGAGTAGAAGCTCTAATTTTAGCATAGGAGTTTCTTATTAATGTTATGAAAAGTGGTGTTATTTTCCAAACAAAATAGAATTTAAATAAATTGAAGTCAGACAGTTGGTTATCTTTTTAAAAACACCTTGGCAATCAAACTTTATGGTATTAAGGTTCAAAGCCATTATGGTGTAGTGGTTAAGAGCATGTAGTCTAGAGTCATAGTGCCTGGCTACAAACCCTGGCTCTCTCTGATACTCACTAGATAGGAGAACTTGGGCAAGTTACTGAGCCCCTTTGTGCCTCAGTTTCCTCATCTGTAAAATGGGCATAATAATTTCACCTACCCCATAATATTGTGAAGATTAAATATGCTAGCATGTAAAACATAACAGGACTTGACATACAATTAGCAATATATAGGTGATGTTGCTGCAGTTTGGGACTGTGAAGTGGGAATTTCTTTGCAGAAATTTTATTGGGGAGTAGTTTTGGGTTCAACATCTATGGGGCAGCAAAGGAAGCAGAATTGTGCAGTGGCAGAATTTGAGCAGCGATTCAGTCACAACAAATAGATTAGCTGATTCAACAGGGAACACTGGAGTTGGGGAGGTCCTGCAGAGTTGTCCCAAATTAGGAAAAGGGGGCCAAACTTTTATACCCATACTAACCAGTCATGTGTATGCAACCTGCCTCCTAGTAAGGGGACATGACTTTGGGAAAAGTCAGTTCTTTTCAGCTGAGAGTAATTCCTGAGAAGGACACTCAGTTGTAAACACAACATCTGTCAATACTCTCAAGAGGTAGAGGAATGAACATTTCAGTCCTAAAGAGTAGGGACATCTGGGTGGTACATCACAACATTGGCTACAGTTGTTGCTATTTTCTTCAACCCCTACTCTTCTGTAATAATTTCCTCCTCCTCCTCCTCCTCCTCCTCCTCTTCTTCTTCTTCTTCTTCTTCTTCCTCCTTCTCCCCTTCTTCCTCCTTCTCCTCCTTCTTCCTCCTCCTTCCTCCTCCTTTTCTTCTTTTCTCCTCCTCCCCTCCTCCTCTCCTCTTCCTTCTGCCATTTCTGCTTCTTCTCCTCTTCCTCCTCCTCCCCATTCTGCTCCCCCTCCTCCTCTTCCCCTTCTCCTCTGCCTCCTCCTCCTCATCCTTCTTGTTATTACTATTCTGATTATAATCTAAAAAGATGAAATATCTTCTCATTGCATTATTATTCTTTTCACTGTTACAATCTAAAAAGATGATATCTTCTCATTGTTCTGCCTGAGATATAATACCCACATCACTGAACCATTTTACTCTTGGCACAACCTTCCTAAAAGAGAGGCCCTGGTAATGGAACTTCATTTGCTTCTTATGTTCTGTATCAGTTTTCTTTCTGTGTTTCTTAGTAGACTTGCATCTTTGTTAAGTTGTTTCCAGAAGATGTTACCTAAGCAAGTCTCTTAATAGGTTGTTTGCCATTTGAATATTGATCTCTGATAAATTTGACAAACATGCACAAACATTCAGAATATCCTGCTAAGAACAACTAAGGTAGAAAATATGGTCTTTCATGCTTTCCTCTCAAAAGTGACAATTTTGATCACAGAAAAAGTGTCTGATTAAATATTTGAAGTTGAAAGAAAAGATCATAATCCTGAGATTCCTATAAATATAAGTATTTATCATTTTTTACCAGTATATTAGCTGAATAATATGCTTTCAAGGCAAAACTGTGTGTTTGTGTGTCAAGGGGGCATATTTGGAGCAATTTACATGTTCATAATTATTTCCAGTTTTGCCACTGTACCCAAACACACTCATGCATAGACACATAATTGTGTATCTATCTAGAAATAATGACAATGCTCAAACAGCACTGGCTTTACTTATAACATAGCCTCAATCCTTAAAATTAGTGACTTTCCTAGACCTTTGAATAGAAAATTTACCTACTGAATGCAATGTATTTAGTAAGATATTCATTTTTTTTTTGAGACAGAGCCTTGCTTTGTTGCCCAGGCTAGAGTGAGTGCCATGACATCAGCCTAGCTCATAGCAACCTCAAACTTCTGGGCTCAAGCAATCCTGCTGCCTCAGCCTCCCGAGTAGCTGGGACTACAGGCATGCACCACCATTCCTGGCTAATTTTTTCTCTATATATTAGTTGGCCAATTAATTTCTTTCTATTTATAGTAGAGACGGGGCCTCGCTCTTGCTCAGGCTGGTTTCGAACTCCTGACTTCGAGCAATCCGCCCGCCTCGGCCTCCCAGAGTGCTAGGATTATAGGCATGAGCCACCGCGCCCAGCCTTAGTAAGATATTCATGAGGGAAAAAAATCATGTGGTCTCACAAACAGAATGCAAGTATTGTTCATGAACACTATTCAAGGTAATGACGATCATAAATGATTAAAATTACCCTTAAATATGTGATCAGTTATTCTAAATAGAAATATTTCAAAACAAATATCATAAAACTAATAAGTGTATCTTGCTATTTCTATTACTTTCCTGAAGGAAAAAAAGTTTCAAAACAACAGTTGATAAAAGGCATCACTAAAGAAAGTACTATCAATTGAAGGCAATCACCAGTAGGCCCTGAAGATTACAATAATACTGATACTAGATTTGGATATTTATGTAAACTGCTTTTTCCAATGACTTATTTATAACATCGAAGATATTCACTGCCCCTGTTGCTTGGCTCTCATGTGTGTTCATTCGAGTACATATATTCAGATTAAAGTACAAGCTTTTGTTTCAAGATTTCATGCTCTCATGATCACATGAATGTGTACTATTTTGTTGAAAAGTGTCTTAGTCGTTCTGCATTAAGATAGTGATCATTGACATGTGCAGTCATACCCTTGCAAAGACCAACAGTCAGTGTGTCTGACTAGCTGCAGTGCTCATCTGTGATAGAGTGCAAAATATGCTAAACTTCATAGAAGTCTCTTCTTTTTACATAGAAAGGAATCATGGGTGGGATTCTCTGATAATTGTCTTTACATTGTTGTTTAATCTTGCTGATGAATACTCTGTAATATTTTCCTTTTTGTCTAAGAAGTTATGTAGCCACTTAATCCATTCTAAGTAACTGCTAAGGTTCTCCAGGTGATGACATTTTTCAAGTTATGACTTATCAAAATTGGTCAAAACTATTATTTTTCCAAAGTTGGATTTGTCATACAGCTTTAAAAATTGGTGGATGGAACAGAAAATATGATTATGGGAATTCAGAGCTGTCATCCTTTGTCTATCCAGTTCTGAACTGTGATTGAGCGGATAATGGCAAAGCAGTTATTTTGAGCTGAATTTTGTGTGTTTTTGCTGAGTGAAATAACTTTGTTCTATCTTCCTGGATTAGAGTATTTCAAATACTAAGAAATGATAGAAATCAGGTAGGCAAATGGCTGGCAGTCATCATATTTTGATGAAAATATGTAAAATGATGAAATACCCAGGTCTCAGATAATTACATAAAACGTAAAAACTACTTTGAAGGGCTAACAAAAAGAGAAAACCAATAGGTAACACAGAAAGGGATGGCTATCAGAAGATACCAAGTATTTTATCAGGGCACCTGATAAAATTGAAATAAAATTAGTGTATCTAC